ATATTTTTAGGGATCCACCAAAGGCGTGGATTTTTTAAAAAATATTTTTAGGGGTCCATCAAAGACGTGGACCAAAGGCGTGGATTTTTTAATAAATATTTTTAGGGGTCCATCAAAGACGTGGACCAATGACGTGGACTTTTTAAAAAATACTTTTAGGGGTCCATCAAAGACGTGGATCAAAGGCGTGAATTTTTTAAAAAAATATTTTTAGGGGTCCATCAAAGACGTGGACCAAAGGCGTGGATTTTTTAAAAAATATTTTTAGGGGTCCATCAAAGACGTGGACCAAAGGCGTGAATTTTTTAAAAAAATATTTTTAGGGGTCCATCAAAGACGTGGACGAAACGCGTGAATTTTTTAAAAAATATTTTTAGGGGTCCATCAAAGACGTGGACCAAACGCGTGAATTTTTTAAAAAATATTTTTAGGGGTCCATCAAAGACGTGGACCAAAGGCATAAATTTCTTAAAAAAATTTTTTAGGGGTCCACCAAAGGCTTGGATTTTTTAAAAAATATTTTTTCAAAGCCCCTAACTTCTCCAGTCCAGTCTTTTAGTTAAATTCTGATTTAATATTTACTAAAGTTAATCGATAATTGTTCCAATTCATCAATATGTTTGGGCTAACGTGCAATGTTCCAATGTCTTAAAGATGAAATAATTGTTAACCCCGCCCATCCTCTTTCTATTTTCTTCTCTCCCATAACTATTTATCGCAATTAAGCCTTAACATATTGCTAATTTAACAACTTCCGATTGAATAAAGTTTGTTTTTCTCTATTTGCAAAAACACGCATACACACACAAAATTTGTTGTTGTTATATCTCACCCAGGACACCACAACAAAATTAGTTGGTAATATCAACACTAATCTTCTTACAATTCGGTTTTCGTTCTTTGTTTGGTTTCGTTGTCTGTTGCGGTAAAACCACTTTTGTGCAAAGATCCTGCCATTCGAAATGGCAAAGCTTTTACAAAAGTCTTGCCACAATGACTTTGCGTGCAAGTGTATGTGTGTGTTTAATTCTGGAGAAATGTTTGTGTTTGTAAATCCACATTGCACATAATTTGATATGTGTGTGTGTGTCAGTGTTTGTACACATGTCAAGTGTAGATTTACCCAGCATGTATTTCAGAGAAATAAAGAATTTTACAAAAAAAGAAAAGAAGAAGAAAAGTAGATTAAATTGTAAATGTCAAGAGAATGTAATACAATGCAGATTTACATGCATATATTGGGAGCCAAGAAGAAGTAAAATAATGTGGTAAATAAAAGATAGAGAAAGTGATTAACAAAAATGCCAATATTTATACCCTACACAACTATGTTGTCAGGTTATTATAGCTTTGTGCGACCCAAGAATTTGTAACGCCGTGAAATACTGGTCATAGACCCAACGATCGACATATTTCGACTACCTGAGTCGATCTAGCCATGTGTATCCATCCGTCTGTCCATTAGAATTTGTAAATACGCTACAAACCACAGTTATGAACCAATCGTAGGCCCGGTCCTGACCAATGAATACCCCTACTGTTATTGGCAGTTAATATGTAGGGGATCAAATGGACCAACAACTTTATTTTTGTCTGTTTCTCTGGTCGCTCTAAAGGCCACAATTCTGACCGAACATCATGCAATTTTACGCATAAGCAAAAAGCAATTATATATTTAGTCTGGAAGGACATAGACCTAAGAAGTTGATAGTATATCAGGGAGGAATGGTTGAATAGATACCAATTATATTGTTGTAGGTACTACAATGTGGGAGTTAAACACCTGTAAGTGTTTACGTATTCCGATATTTGCAGTATTACCATTACTCTAGAGGGCGAAAATATAGCCCTAATGACTTGGAAATTAGCATGAGGTCCCGGTTATAGTCAAAGACGACGCCTATAATTTTCGATGATGATCAGTTGATATTTCGTGGTTATCAAGTCATTCTACAGTCCACTATTATAATGTCGTGATAAAGAATCCTGGAAAACATTATACGGAAATAACGCAACATCACAAATATTCAATTCGAATGACTGTCATGATAATGAAAACTCAATATTTAGCGGGTGAAATGAACCAAAACTTTTATTTGAAGAAAAACACAATTTGAATCTTATGAATTAATTTTTTAATCCTGGAAAACATGATACGGAAGTCATGCCGCAGAGAAGCTGTTGACCACTAATCTGTCAAGAGAGTGCTAATATCGAGAAATATTACCCTGGCACTAAATATAGATCTGAAAAGATCATTGGTCGTTGTGAAGGGTATCATACTACTCCGCTCACTGGCTTTATTTATCTTATTTTTTTATCTTATTTTTTTATGGAAGGCGTATAAAGGGTCTTCAATGCATACATGACCTTTAAACGGTCTTCTATGTATAGAAATCTAATAAAATGGCTACTAGAATTTTACACGGTCTTCTAGAACTTTAAATGGTCTTCTAGATCCAAAACACAAGATCTTATTTAAAAGGTACGAATTTTCTTTTATATCCTCAATTGTAGTAAAACTATTTTCTTTCTCCGGGATCTTAATTTTTGCTAAGAGGGAAAGGTGAGCAGGGCCAATTCCGATGAATACCGTGGTTGGTACATGTTTTGATTGCGCAAACGGCGCATATTTTCAAGGTAGAATTTCTCATTGACCGTTCTACCTTGTGGCAAGCATTAATAATGCACCATGCCATGAATAAAACCTTCACATCTGGCCAAATTTGACGTGCCATTACCGACGTTGGCTCTTCTGGACGTTTTCATAAGTATGATTGGGAGTTGATTTCAATGTCATAGTCATACATTGTCGAACATTGCGCGAGTTAATGGGTTGCTATAGAGTAACATCGGGTAATGTGGACTATGCGTTTAATGTGGACCACCCCCATATCTTAGAAAATGCTTGCCCGTTTGACCATTAGTGGGGGAGGTACCAGAAGGAGTGGATCAATGGGTCCGACCTCATCCAGACTTTGTAGAGATAATAGGTTGGTGTAAAGCGGACATTCCATTCGCCTGAAATTGGCAATTTGGATCCTTTGTGGGGGAGGTACCACAAGAAGTGAACTAATCGGTCCCATCTTCGGAATTAATCTAGGCTTGATAGAGATAATAGGTTGTACAAAGTTTGGTTCAAATCGGTATTATAACATTGCATTTTTCACAATTTTGACCATTTTGAGGGGTAGTTACCAGAAGGAGTGAACCGATATTCCTAATTTTCGAACTTGAACTAATTTTTGGAAGAAATATTAAGATGTGCAAAGTTTGAATGAAATCTATTATTTTCTTTAAGAGCTGGTGTGGTCCGACAGATGGACGGACATTTGTAAAGAAACATTGGGTCTAAAACCAATATTTCAACGAGGCATATTTTCACCCTATCCAAGTGTATATAACTTTCATTAGACATAAGGCTGAGGGTATAAAAATCAGGACCTTCATATGGGGACAAAGGCATTGCAAATTGTCTGCTAGTAGGATGCTTACATTCTTAGAAAATTAAACCTTCAAAATAACGACTTTGGAATTACGGTCATATGGAAGCTATACCCAAACGATATATATCCGATATATCTCATTTTGCAATACCTACCATCTTAGGAATAATAGCATGTCAGTGGAAAATTTTAAAACTTTATCTTAAGTATTGTGATTTCAACAGACAGATATGGCAGAATTGTACACTCCGGAGAATTTTCAAATATTTTGTTATGCAATTGGTCTTTCAATTGCCTTCATAGCTCATATGTAGGTCTGTGTTAAGCGTCCCTTAATGTAGGCATCATCTATCAAATACCTACACTAGAGTCCTGTCGAAGATCTTCTTTGCACAAGTGACAAATGAATAATTCCAGAACATATGTTTCAATAATAAATTAGTCAATATAATGTTATGCATACACCACAATATGCTCAAATAATTGTTATTGTATAATAACAATTCTATTTATCTTGTAAATAGTTATATTACCATATATATATATATATATATATACTCGTACATATGTCACATGTTTTATTTGTGTTAGTATTTACCTTTATTCTATCATTACACACTGTTATACTGTGCGTATAATTAATTTCAATATGTATACGACACCAGAATACAATTCTGTGTACAACAACAACTGTGCTTAATAATTTATTAAACACAGGTTATTTTTTTATATTGCCATCTCTTGAAAGAGATCTCCAGAGCACAACAATAATGGAAAATATTCGAACAAACACACACACATACCTATACTTTTTTGGAAATAAATATTTTGTGCGAGGGGTTTTTATGTGTAAATCTGTTGGAGGATAAGCTTGATAATACTCTGGACTAATGTACACATGGTGATATAGATACTTGTATGTATATATTTTTAGGGGGTATTTGCAAAGAACACAAATAAATAAAGACCTAATAAAGTTAAACCTCAACAGTAATGACAATGAAATGCATGACTAAAAAACCCGAAATGGTCCCATCTGCGAAAGCATTAAACGACTTTGGAAATGTTCACATTTTTTTCTTTGCAAATAACATGAAGGTGTGTATTACTTGTGCATAAAGTACCAATTAAATATGTATTGTTAATGGGACGAGGTCATAAATAAAGCAGCAATGTAATACATAAAATAAGGATTAAACTCCAAGGGGGAGAGATACAATATTAACAATTGAAAACATATATACATAATATATATTCCTATTTCTAACTAAAATATTTTTCTACAACATTTTTTCTATAATATTTTTGTTACTAAATAATGTTAAATACATTTTTTATATAAACATTTTTCTATTATTTATTTATTTTTTAATTTATTTTTTAAACTTTCTTCTATTTTCATGTAATTGTTTTTTGGTTCGTAAACAACACCTCTGGCAACATTACACGATATCCCTTTTTTACTACCAACTGCACAATCCCAAAACAAAACTTTTTTGAACACCAAAACCAACCTCTATCCAACATCATCACACACACACATTGCCATGAAACCAACAAATACGCCTCCTCCAATCCCTAATATACACAGGCAAATTAGCAGCAACACAATGGCGTACTCGATTCGGTCGTCTATCCAAAGTACCAGCTTTGGGAGAAGTGGATCCAACAGGATCATTTTGTGCCTTTCCTGATAATTGGTTAAAAATGAAAGCCGGTAAACAAAACAACAACAAAATTACATATTATATAACACTAACAACCTAACAGCACCCATTTTACTTTCAATGAACTTTGCCACCAAACACATAAGAGCGCCTAATAATACACCACCAAATTTTTAACAAAAATAATTTTTAAATCCTTTTTTCAAAGACCTAACTAACTATTGGTTATGCTTGTATAAAAAATGGAATGCTGCTTGTGTGTTATTTAACTAAATAGAAAGAAACATTTACAATGGAATCTCTTGCCAACGGAAAATTTAAAATTTATGAGAAGATTTTTTCACAAAGTATTAGTATTGTAAAAAATATTTCTATTCCTGTTGTAAGAGGCTCCACTGTATATTTGTACACCTTTATTGTGAAAAGTTTAATAATTGATTTTTTTTTTTGTTATTTACCTTTTTTATAGCCGAAAAAGCTGTTAGTCCTTCGAGTGCGGATTTATGGAAAAGTAAGTCTTATTGAAATATTGAGGTTTTACAACAACTAATTGAAATTCCATTTTTCTTTCCCTTTAAAGTTTTCTTTGTGAATGCTGTGCCATTTGTTGCGTTTGGTTTTCTGGATAATTTCACTATGATTATTGCTGTAAGTTGGTCGCAAAAAATAAATACAAGTAAAAAACAAGTAGACACATTGTTAAGTTCGGCAGGGTCGAACTTGGAGTACGTTAAAAATTCGGTCGGGATATTTATGCTATGATGCTATATGATAAAATAATGTTTGAAATTACAGACACTCTAGTTGGAAAACAAAAACGGACTGCTTTTTAAAGTTATTATTTTTATTATTAGATACAACAGGAATCTGAAATGTCAAATTATAGCCACTTTCATTAGAAAATTCGGTTAAAAATATGTAAATAACGAACATGTGAAAAAGTGTCCGTCGGTGTTGTCGACTGATATATACCCTCACCCTATGGTATGCGGGGGAGGTATTCGGAGTTATACACAGGATTCATTATTCGTTTTGTATAAGGTATATGTTTAAGTAAAGATGTTTCGGATCTGATGTTGATAAAATATATAGGATGTACCAGAAGGAGTGGACCAATGGGTTCCATCTTTAAACTTGATCTAGGCTTGGTAAAGGTAATAGGTTGTGCAAAATTTGGACATCTTCGAACTTGATCTAAGCTTAGTAAAGATAATAGATTGTGCAATGTTTGGTTCTAATTGGACATTCCATTCGCCTTATATTGGATTCAAAAATATTGGAAATGTTGACCATTTGTGGGGAAGGTAATAGAAGAAGTGGACCAATGGCTCCCATCTTCCTACTTGGTCTGGGCTTGGTAAAGATAATATGTTGTACAAAGTTTCGTTAAAATCGGGGATTCCGTTTACATGATATTATAAAATTAATTTTTAGCACAATTTTGACCATTTTGTGGGGGAGGTACCAGAAGGAGTGGACCAATGGGTCACATCTTCAAACATGATCCATGTTTGGAAAAGGTAATAGATTGTGCAAAAGTTGGTTCAAATCGTACATTCCATTGGCCTAATATTTGATTTATAACTATTAAAAAATTTGACCGTTCGTGGGGGAGGTACCAGAAGGAGTGGAGCAATGGCTTCCATCTTCCTACTTGATCTAGACTTGGTAAAGTTAATAGGTTGAACAAAGGTTCGTTAAAATCGGATAGTCCGTTTGCATGTTATTATATAATTAGTTTTTAGCACAATTTTGACCATTTTGTGGGGGAGATACGAGAAGGAGTGGACCGATAATCCCCATCTTCGAACTTAAACTAAGTTTGAAAGAAATATTAAGATGTGTAAAGTTTGAATGAAATCGGTTATTGCCTTTGAGAGCACCAACCAGCCAGACAGGCAGACGGACAACGGATGTGGTCCAAAGAATCATGGGGTCTAAAACCAATATTTCGATGAGACACATTTTCACCATATCAAAGTGTATATACCCTCATTAGCCATAAGGCTGAGGTATAAAAAGAAGAAACGGAACTCTTATGTGGGATTATATCACATAGACTTGTATATAAGTTAGCCTTCTCTTAAATGCTCTTAAAATACAGATTTATGGGTCTACCATTATATAGTGGGTACCCGGAAACTTGAGCCAATTTTGATTTTTGTTAGGGACATATTCTACTCAATGCGAATCCGAAATATTAAATTGCTTCCAAATTAATTGAAATACGTGGTCAGGCTCCCCAAAATAATGAAATTTAGGTGTAGAACCAATATAGATCATGTTTAGTAGAAAGATTTGCCACCATATGAGAACCTGAAAAATCAAATTAGAGACAATTCGGCTAGAAAACGTGACCAAAACCCCTATAATAGCTAATATTGGGGTTACAATTATATGATAGCTACCCGGAAACATGGGCCAATTTTGATACATTTTTGTTGGGGACTTATTCTACTCAATGAGAGTCCAAAATATTACATTGCTTGCACATTGGTTGAAACATGTGCTCAAGCCTCCCCAAAATAGCGAACTTTTGGGGTATAGCGTCGCATGGGGGCTTCCCCAAAAGGTTGACCAATATTCATAATTTTTAATAGGAAGATTCACTACCAGAATCCGTAGGATACCGTTTGGGGTTTCCGGTGAATATTTCGATGTATTGCCAACAAAATAACAAATTTCAATTTCAAATTTCAACTTATAGTGAAAGGCAAGGGCCTATATAAGGTCGGTCAGTAAGCGAATTCATAGAGAAATCTTAAGTTTAACGTAAATTTTTTTGCCGATGCAAAAACAAATTGTTTCGCCTTTAAATAAAAAACACAACTAAAACACAAAACAATTTATATTTTAAATTGAATTTAATTGAATTGAATGTTGACAAAATATTAATATTTTCGTTTTGACGTCTAGCATAATTTTATGTATGTATGTATAGGTTTCAAAATATGATTTGACAGCAAACTTTATACCCAGCTGTGGTTACTGTCCGACCTTATGTAGGCCTTGGTGAAGGGTATTATAAATATTTTAATTATAATATTTTTCGATTACGCAGTTTAGAAAAAACAAGGAGCGGAACAATATAGACGGACGAAACCGAAATATACCCTACACAATTACCACTGCATCCTAACTTTCGGGTCTGGGCAATATTAATAGATATTTATCAATTTACCCACCCAACACCTCTTTCTTACCTCGCCTCGTTTACCGAAGGGAACATAAGATTCAACTGTTATTATTTTACACACAAAAGTCTTGGTTCATTTGACGCGTTAAATATTGATAATTTTCAAATCATCCTTTGCATAAACATTTTTTATGTTGATGTTTCCATTTGATCCGATAAATAATGATCGATTATCATGACCACCAGAGGGTTTGTTTAAAGTCTACCAGGGAGGACTATTAGAAGATAACTAGAAAGGATTATTTATGGACTATCAGATTGGAGCCTTTATATAATCAATGAGGGAGCCCGACGCCATAATCGTGTAATAATCCACATACAATACCATTAATATGATATCCGGTGGCAGAGGTTAAACAATTCTGGAGAAATCACTCCATCTTAGGGCACTCTCTGTTTTACTCTTTTCGACTTCCTTTTTGTGAATACCACACACGACTGACGCCCACACATCAACTTTATTATTCAATGTTTCGAGCAAGACCGGATTTTAGTTCACTATATACTCGAACAGCCTTCAGCAAATATGTTGCTTCTCATCGATAGGATAGTGGCTTCGCTGATGTTAAAATAGGGTGCTGTGATGTTAAACGATCATCCAGCTGTTCAAACATTACCACAGATATTCCGTCCGAACTCTGCACTTCGGATGGCTTGGCGTTCATGATAACATAGGTTGTTTTACCTCCACGGTTAGGAAGGCTCTTCACTTCCTTCCAGGATTCGAAAGTGACTTAATGATTGCCCCGAATTTACATGTTCAGGCAACAATGTTTGATTGCTTCAGACGGTCTTGGCACATTTTCCACAATAATCTACTATTAAACGAAATACTTTTCGAGTGTCTCTTTATATATTTGAAAACTTTTACCACATTTTGAAAACATAACATATCAAATAACAAAAGAATTTAAACAATGTCGATAAATTTTTAAAGTAAAATAGAGGCTTAAAAGGGGTTATTTCTAGAAAAAAATTATAGACTTTAAATGCCCCTGCAAAAAGTAATTTTATGATGTACGTTATTGTTAACAATAAATATTTTTTATGGGCTTCAATATACATATTTCCATATATGCCTGCATTTATTAATATTCCATTCCTACTATTTTCTTACAGGGTGATTACATTGAGTATTTATTTGGTACCTTTATGTGTATATCCACAATGGCAGCTGCTGGTCTGGGTAACACAATTAGTGATGTCTTAGGTATTGGCTCAGCCTACTATGTGGAACGTGGTTGTGAAATATTGGGCTTAAGGCCACCAGATCTAACACCCATACAAATGGAAATGAAATCTAGTCGTAGAGCCGCTAACTACGTAAGTGGAAATAACTTTATAAAAAAATAACTTTTTCATTCTATTAATTGTTTTTTTTATTCTTTTTCCAGGGTCGTATTATTGGTATCACAGTTGGTTGTTTAGTGGGTATGTTCCCACTATTGTTTATAGATCGCAAAGCCATCGAAGATGAACGCAAAGAGGAAGAAGAACGAAAGAAGCTGGAACTTAAAAATAAACAAGAATCGGCCAATGCAATAACAACAGCTCAATAAATCAAAACATAAGCAAAAACAAAAACAAAAAATAAATACTAACATTAAAAATAGTTGTAATTTTCTACCTTTTCTTTCCTCAACACAACTATGCGCCTTGTATTCTAGATCATGTCTATTTGTTTAATCGTCTTATTTCATTTTCTTTTAGATTATTGTTTAAAGTTAAACTTTTTTATTCGTGTGTGTATGTGTTTATTTTCTAATTAGACTATAATGAAAAGCAAAAAAGGGAATTTATTAACTTAGCGATATTATTTTTTAATACTACCTCTTGTTTAATTTTTACAACAACAACAAAAAACTTATTAGCATAACAAAAACACACAACATGTTCTACATAAATATTTTTTGTAGTAATGTCAGTTTTATGTTTGTAAATTGTAGGATAACAATAACCGATTACAAATCAAAAATTAAAATATATTTTAATGTTATTATATTATTTAAAAACAATAATAAAAAAAATAATATTGACTTTATACACATAACACAAACAAAACAATGTTTTATCATTTACAACGTATTTTTTCTATTTTACAGATTTCATTTTTACACTCTTTTACAGATAGGTTTTCATTCTTTTGATTAATTTTATGATCATATAAACATAAATATATTCAAGACTTTTTATTCAAATTTATAATATGAAACAATTCCCACTTCTTTTTTCCTTATAACCGTCCAAATTTTATTTATTTTCTACCTAATACTGCCTATATATGGATTATACATACATAATTTTTAAGCATATTTTTAATATTCAACATAAAAGCCGCAGCATTTCATACAGTTGACATATCAATCTTCATAAGAATATTTAAATATATTTCATTTTATGAAACCATTATGTGACCCCTAAAATATGTTCGCAATGTTTCCTCAATAGCCTTATCTTAGGAGTCAATGTATTATGTTATGAACATGTAATCGTATTCATCCAATCATGAATCCGATCCTCAAGGAATATAGTGGAGTGGATAACATGGAAAAAAATATATGTAAATGAAACATTTTATTCATCCTAGCCTTGATCGGTAAAAAAATGTAAGAGCGCCTGTATTGCAAACAAAAATTAATTTTAAGCAATTTTTACACATTATTCAACTTCTAAAATAAGATTTTGGTACAAAGTCTAACAAAAAGTGGTAATATTTTAATTTTCTTCATAATTTGTTCGATAAAATCTACTTTTTGACCAATTCCCTTCAGTTTTGTGGGGGAGTTTTTCTTAAGGAAATCGCAATATTTACAGTCCCACGAAGTTCACGGTCCTAGTGTTGTCAATAGAAAGAGAACTTATAGTGATCACAAAAAAATAATAACGTTCACAAAAAAATAACGTAATAAAAAAAATCATCCATTTTTTAACCGATTTTGTTGATTTTTCTCATTTTCGAAAGCTTATTTAATTTTCTTCCCTGTATTATAATAAATTTTGTCTTTTTATGCGTATTTTTCACATTTCAACCACTGTAACTCAGCCAATCCTCAACGGATTTACTAAATATATATCTTGTTTGAAAGGAAAAGAAAAAAAGAATAATATACATCCGTTATAAAGTAAATAAGTTATTCGCGTTTCAAATTGAAAATCTATGAGACCATGTTTTCTCTACATTAATTTTCGAAGTGACCCAGAAAAACCAAAGGTATTTTCGTGGTCCAGGGACTCCAACTAAACAGAATTGGTACATAAGAACCCCTGAATAATTTTCGTGTCGCACAGTGTAATCAAAAGTGTTATACATGTCGCTCATTTGCTGCACGATAGGCATAAATAAAAAAATCGATTTTGCAGGAAATGCGTTTTCAGTTTTAAATTTACTCACTTCTTATATGGGACAGAGGGACTTCTTTTCAATCAGACTTTGTATAAGATATTAATCAGAATGTTTTGCACAATAGTGAGTCTGATATAGCGAATAATTCTGCATCATTAACTCAAAACTTACTATTTTTGATATATGCAGCAAATGGCCGATGGGTTTACACTGCTATGATGATATTGATTTCCTCCAAATATATTATTCAGTTTCCCCTCGCCGTTACCGACAACCATGCCAAACTGGTCGAGGCCATAGAGAAAACCAACTTCTGACCATATTTGAAACCATGGATAATTAACAATATTTGTGGTTACCGGTCATATGTGGAATTTAGAAGCAATTAGTCGAAAGCCATAGAGGGAAACATGCAATTCCCAAGTTGCTGTGATTTCTCCGGAACTGTTCAACATCTCAGATAATCCATCACCATCGGACGTCATAGATATCGCAATCTATTCGGATGATTGTACGATCATGACGTCTACATAGCCAATGATATTGTTATTTTCTTCCATTTGAGATATATACATATTGACCGCCTCCAAATCCACAGCCGCTCAGTTCACACTCAGACGGCTGAAATGATGCTCCCGGCAAACATAATGGTAGGTAAAGAAAAAATTATGACCACCAATTCGCTAAAATATTGGGTGTAACATTCGACAACACTTTCAAGACGTCTGCGCAAGCCATTGCTATTTGCAAATAGATCAGAAGTAGGAACAAGCTTACCGGCAGCATTTGGCGCATATTGGCTTTTCCGCCTAGGAACGCCAAGAGATATCTTTATAATGTAGACAAAGAGATCCAAAGATACAATCCTGAACCTCTATCAAGCAGATCTGAATACCATTCATATAGATGTAGTCTCCGAGGTCGTAGAACATTCGTAGGCTATATTTGCATTTCAGAGAAATTCAGACACCACCAAACTTGTCCTTTATTTAATTCAACTCTAAAATGACTATATGTTAATCCGTTAAATGTTTTAAGAAGTATATACCCGCCTAAATTTTTTACCATAAGTCGGAATGAAGTTTTCGAATATAAAAATATATTTTGTATACCAAACTGAAACTATATTTCTTCGACTATGGCGTTCACTGAATCCTTTCTCGGATATCATTAGTAAACATTTTCTTTCATACAGACATTGAGATTGATATTATTGAGCTGCAGCTCTTTTTTATATAACTGCGGTCGGATGCCCATCAGGCATTAATGGGTTAATTTATAAATGATATAGTCTGTCAGAATAAATATAATAATACTCCTTAGCTTCAAATGTCTAGCAACCCGCATTGTTCACTGATTTTACTTCGTTAGCGAATGTGGAAATTTTTAAAACTACACACGCAAAATGAAATCTATCTCTGAACGCAAATGAAATCTAGCTCTATACTAAATATATATTATGATAACACAAATTTTTTTGATCCGATGGCTTTGAATTTATATAAAAGTCTTTTCATGAATAAATAATAAACCAGTGAGCGGAGCATTATAGTCGGACGGGGCCGACCATAGGATACCCTACACAACTATCACGGAACTCTAACTTTCTGCTGATGTTTATTTGTGGTGATATTTGCACCGCTTTGCCGATTAGAGATCAACAGCACCTTTTCGATCGACTCGAAAATAACACAAAAAAATTAAGTTTTCGGTCCACTTCATTCCAAAATTATTATCTGATCATCACCGAAAATTATAGGCGTTGTTCTTGTCCATACCTGGAACCTCATGGAACATTTCCAAACGATCAGCGCTATAGTTCTGCTTTCTAGAGTGATAATGGGTTACTAAATAATATACGAATACGGAGATAGCACATACAACAATATAATTGGTCTTAATTTAAAAGTAAACCAATCCTCTTGGATATAATATCAACTTCTCGGGTCTATGTCCTTCAGTGGTAAATATATATGCTGTAGAATACAAATTTTGTCATTTTTCACACAAAAGTCAGTGTCCATTTTACCCGCTAAATATTGACCGATCTTTCCCATAAACAATAGGGGTCTTCATTCAAAAAAATTAGTATTTGGTCCATTTCATCCCCTAAATATTAACAGATCTTTCCCATAAACAATAGGGGTCTTCATTGGGCCGAACCCATCCTACATGCAAAATTTCGTGAAGATTGGTCCATAACTGTGGCCTGTATCGTGTTTACAAATTATAATGGACAGACGGACGGACGGACACACATGTCTAGATCGACTCAGCTAGTCGAGATATGACGATCGGTATACTTAAAGGTGGGTCTAGGACCAATATTTCGCGGCGTTACAAACTTTTGGGACTGCACAAAGCTATACTACCCTGACAACATAGTTGTGTAGGGTATAAAAATATGCCACCATTTATTACCTTTTGTACTCTTGTACTAATTCCAAATTTCAGGATTCAAATTTAGTACTATGTAGTAAACATTAATGTAAATTTCGATATGTACCCACTTCAACAATCCAATAGAAGTTATATATCCTAATTTCAGGATTCCAGTCCGATCATTTTACCCAACTTTAAATGTTGTACCATTTAGTACACATAAGAACGAATTTACAAAACTTCCCTCATTCATTAATCCTACACTCGTAAGCGTAATTATCGGTTCGCCTAAATCCAAATTTTACCAACTTTAGTACCATTAAGTACACATAAGTATATAATATAAATTCATTTACTATCTACAGCATACAATCCAATGAAAATCTTATTTCCCAATTTACCATTTTGTAGACATAAGCACAAATTTCCATTACTACCGACATTACACCATTTAATAGTAATCTTATTCTGGATTCCAGCCCTAACGGTTCATTAGTAGCAATTTCCCAACAGTGATATTAACTCCAAATTTCAGATTCCAGCTCTATCGGTTCACCTAAATCCAAATTGTATTAAATATAGTGTTCATACACATAAGTTCAATTTCCCAAATTACTTACATATTCCAGTTTAAATTTTAAATTTCAAGACTCTCAAATTGTACCAAAGTAAGTGCTGTTTAGTACTTTTCTAAACATGAGTACACACATCCAGAACCACCTCCTTATATTTCAAGTTTGTTAGCTCTATCCGTTCATATGCTGCAAAATTGTAACAAATATAGTACATTGTAGTACTTATCGAAGACTTTTAATTCAATTTCCAAATACCCTT